TATTTATATATTAGCTAATTTAAACAGGACGTCAAATAGACCCTAAAGGTATCTCGATCATATGTATATATATACTGAAAATACGTGCTGTGGGCAGTGTTTGTAGCACCTGCACTGCATGACGAGCATGTGAAAGGCTTTGCATGCATTGCCCAGACCAAACCCTCTAAACTGTGCACGTTGCGCGGTTGTTTGATGTGTTTTGCCCATATTTCCAGCACTTTTGTGGCTCCTCAGTTCGACTTCTTACACGCTTTAGCTTCCTAACTACTTGCCAGGCCGGCGCTTGCCGCAGTCCGCAGCTGAGATCACTCACACACAGTGCTTTTAGAAGCCCAAACATCTCAAATCAGAGTATCTTCACCCTGAAGCATGTGGGGCACATCATAATGTACAGCCTCAAGTAGTAAGGCCCGTCATGCCCCTTCAGCATCGGCCTCTTCTTCCACTTCGTCATCAATCATCTGCATCTGGCTCAGCAAGTCCTGACGACTGTGAAAACTAACTAACGTGATCACACATTTCATCAATGTTTCGCACCTGCCCCGCGCCAAGGCTTACGCTGTTCTTGTGCAGACTTGGAGAATCGAATCCGAAAGCCCCATCCATGGAGCCTGGAGCACATCTTCGGAACATGAACTCACTTTTCTTCGAGTAACTGCTAAGGCTTGCCAAGGGCTGCTAAAGTAATGGGGGGCCCGGACTTCCTGGAGTCATCATCATGATCTGATCGTTGAGTTCCTGCGCCTGTGCACGACCAAGTTTGTACCATAACGCTTCTCAGCTGCATTGTGCTGGAGCTTACCAGCTTGGTGGCCTGTCGCTCGGCCGCCTGCCGGTCGGCCTCGCTCATGATGCGAAGCTCCTCCCAACAAAGCGCATGTGAACAAGAACTGTTTGGTTGTGTATACATGGATCAAGAAAGAACTGTATAAGCATCAAAAAACATACGCCCCGCGTCAAAACAAAATTGAGCATCAAACAACAATTGTTGTTAACGTCTAGTATTAGCATTTGTATTAATATCAGTATTAATGTTAGGATTATGATTATCATTATCTTTATTCGTAGTAGTAGTAGTAGTAGAAGTAGTAGTAGTATAAGTAGTCATAGTAGCAGTACTACTACTACTACTACTACTACTACTACTACTACTACTACTACTACTACTACTACTACTACCACCAGTAGTTGTTGTTGCTGTAGTAGCAGCAGTAGTAGATACAAGGGAAGGCTACCAT